TAACAAGTATCATTGTACAAATGTTAAAGAATGGAAAATTTAAAAAATATATGAACATCAGAATGTCTCTATGATATAAAGTTTAATTTTTTTTTCTATTAATCTTCAGTGATTAATTATAGAATGACATATGTCTTGTCAGTCCCCTGTATCGTCTTGCAGCAAGACACACCTTTGTTTCTTTTAGCTTTGCGGAAAATGAATTATATTTACCAGATACATATACAGATACTATTGAATATGAATAAATATTTGAATTATTTTTTTTTTATCAAATGTAAGACATACAAACAAAATCTAAAAACACTAAAACAACAAAAGTTAGAAATAAATGTACAACTCTATACTTGGTTTTCATTTTATACACATTTTCTAAATTCATTATTATTATTGACGACACGTTTGGCTCAGTTTGTAGTAACCCTGCTTGCTATGCCAGCGGTTGCGGGTTCCCGCTGTCCCGCTGGGGGCATCATTTGTGTGATGAGCACGAATGTTTGTAATCCAGTCATGGGTGTTTATATTTATTATATGTATGTATTTAAAATTATATATATGTAGTGTATCAACTATCTGGTATCCGTAACACAGGCCTTGTATCTTACCATGGAACTAGATGGTGGTGTGTGTTAATGTCCTAACATATTTATCATTATCATTTTATCATTAGGTGCTTTAACTTATTAAAGTATTTCAATATTTAAAATTAAAGTCAATTTTTGTTTTGCTTATATCATTACGTAATTTTTAATCGTTCTCTTTGCAAGTTGAGAGTTCATGTCTCATTTAAAACTTTCAACTTTCCATGCTTTGTTTCTTCCGCAAATTTATTTAAACAAACCTCTGTTCAATTTTGCTTTGAAAATTTCTATACAAAAGAAGTTATCAGTATAAGATTCCGGCAGTTTTCAATATTGATATCACAATACTAAGTAAAGATAAAAGGTATTGTTTTAAGAATGAAATCTTTTGTTATTATTTCCTATTCAGAGATATTTATTTATAACAAAATCTTTTTTCTAAATATAATAACGAAAATTAATTATTAAATCTTTATCCAATGTAGATATTATTGGATAGATTTAAAATGTTTTAGAGTTGTTAAATGATATAATTACTTTTAACTAAAAGGTTATATTGATATCAAAACGATTCCAAAGCAATTATTTTACACCTAAGAATTTAAAAATTCTTTCTTTGAATCTGTATGTGACGCTTTGGTAAAGCCTATTGTGAGAAAAATCATTAAATTATCTAAAAATAGTTACCGCTTAATAAAACACACGAATAAATACACAAGCAATGGACAACCTTCTTCCTTTTAGATCGGACAATTTCTGAATATTCTATCTGAAATAAATTTTCTATGTACTCTTCATATACCGCTCGAATGCTTTGCTTTTCCTCAGGATTTATGTGGTCTTACTTAAGTCAATTTAATTTTTAGAGTATAATACATATTTAGTAGGTTTTAAGTCGGCTAATTTCTAACCCATTTTACTTAATAACATTTTTTTAGATAGCTAGAAACAATTATCATAATATAAGTTACGATTGCTAACATTGTTCAATAATATATAAAGATGTACCTACTAGCGACTCACCCTCGCTCCGGTCGGGTTCGTCCCTAGTTACGTTTTAAGATTTAGTGTAGATTTCTCAGAGATAAGCTATTTTCCCGCAACAAAAAGTATCCTATATGTTGATTCGGATAACCAGCTATCATCAAACTTTTTATCAAAATCCCTCTGGTGGGTTTTCCGTGATGCGGCCACAGACAGACAGACAAGCACATAGATAGACATACAGACAGACAAAAGTTCTAAAAACTATAAATTCGACCTCTGTATCGATAATAATGTCTATTTCAATCATATTTTCCAAAAAAATATTTAATGTACAAATTCGATTTAATTAAAATTTTATTATAATATGTATAGATTTACATCAAGCTAACTTATACCTGTCGATTGGTCTCACTAAATTTTTCTCAGACATATTAACTCACTAAACTAAGTTAAGCATCATTTCTTATTCGCCATTAGCAATTATTTGCCACCGACAGCCACATCAGTTTATATGGAAATTCGACTTTAAGAGGGACTCAAAATTACCTCGACTTAACTGCGGTATTTAAGTACGGGTAGCAACAAAATTGTTCTGGTAAAATTATTTTGTCACAATAATTTTGTTTATAAACATTTGACATTTTAAATAGAACTATCTTTTTTTCGTTTTTTTCGCGAATTTATTTTGATTCGTGGTTCCCGACATTTTGAATGCTTTACAGCAATCATGGTCACGGGAGAGACATCGGGAATCAAAAATCAAAATAAATCCGCGAAAACGTCCGAAAAGATAGTTTTATTTAAAACATTATATTGTGTTTGTGTGTAGTTGTGGTGAAAGAAAAATAACCAAAAATAAATACTTAATTTCTTATTTTTAAATTTATTTTCGTATGATTTTTTTTAAATATATAAATAAAAATGTAAATAAATAAAAAATAACAAATTTCTAAAACTTTATGGATTGTTTAGATATTTAATACACGTAAAGATAGTTTTTATGCCATTTATTTTGCTTAAAATTAACACTAGATGCCGTTGCAGCACCAAAATTTTTACACTGACTGATTACCAAAAAAATTGGTACGTTATCCATTTTGTTGTAGCCAACCACAGGGTTTAACCAAACGAGCCATAACAACGATTGGTTAGTTAAGCTAGTTATTTGTATAAAAAAACATGCGTGTGTGTACTTATGTACGAGCGTAAAAAGTTATAGGTACTCCTTTGGCGTAACAGAACAAAAATAGCCAAAGATTTCATCCCGTATGTACTGTCTCTGTTTGTAGAAGAAATGCAGCTATCTTCATCATGTCACTTTTTGGCTGTCGGTGTGCGCGCGCATCGTAAAAATTTTACTCTCATAATTTTTTCCAAGCGTGCCAAAAGAAGTATAAGTACAAAAATTTGACAAAAATCTTTTTTTTTTTCAAGTAAATGAACGAAAATAAAAATAATTCCACTGTATAAAATATTTAAAACGGTTTCACTTCGCATTGGAATATGAAGAGAGATTTGGGTATGACACCTATTCTTTGCTCACTCAATTTCCGCATTTATATTGAAACTTCAAAGGAAACAACCATTGGACCGAATAATACTGAACATGTTGTGTAGCAAAAGCTCTACAATTTTTAAATAATACATACGAGTCTGTGTACGTACTACGTATGCTGAAATATAATTTAAAAATTCATTGCTCAATCCCAATTCGCCTTGCCATTTTATTTGAACATACATTTTTTGATTTACTTAAATAACTTTACGTTCTAATTTACTTAGCATATACTTAGAATAAATATTATAAATTTATTGAAATATGGAAAAAATATTTTAGTTTTGTTAAAATTAATCATTCAGATATTACAGATTTATAGGAGCTTATGAAATTAATATCATCAAAGGGGTTTCCATTTCGTAATGTTTGTAGGTTTAAATGTGACCCATTTGTAAAACTACGGTAACACATTTACGTATTCAATAAAACGCCAGTCAGCAAAATAAAATAGCGGAATTCTTGCTCTATCATCAGTTTGCCGCATCGTCGTTAATCTAATCATAAACACGTGAACTGGCACGTTTAATTAACGTTCGAACTACTTTTGTACAAACATATATCCAATTCGATAATATTTAAATAGTACAGTGTTTAAACAATAAAATTTTAAAATATTAATAGTTTTTCCCATGGCTTTGCTCGCGTAATCCATTTGTGTATAACTTTTTCGATCATAAAAGTCGTGGCGGGATATTTGGAAGCTTATATTCTAAAACCTTCCTCAAGATTTGGTCTACCAAATACTATAAAGACTTCAAATGCGACTGGCAGTTCCAGAGGTAAACGCATTCAAACAAAAAAACAAACAAACTTATTAGCGTTGTTATATTAGTATGGATATCCACAACACTTGTTCTTACGAGTACTTCACTCTCAATTCAATGGAATGGCAATTTTTGAAGTTACAAATATTGAAATTTATGTTAAGCGGGGTCGTTGCTTGTAATAAAAACTTTTTACCAAAAAAATAAAAACCGACTTCAAACAAAAGCACTAAAAAGTAAAAAATAACATATTGGTAGTTTTCATTCACTATACATACCTAATCAAATATTTTCGAAGTCGGTGTGCTTTGCTTTGTATTGGCTGGCACCGACTTCGAAATTATTTGAATAATTTTTAATTTTTACGAAGTTGCATTCATAAGAAATAACTAGAGAACTTTAACGTATGAGTTTTCTGATGATTCCAAAATAATTTTATTTTTGAAATAAAAGACCAGACAAATACAATATATTTATATTATTGGTTTAATGACCTCTGCTTACAGATATTATATCGATTTCAGCCGTTCTTTGTTAAGAGACGATTGTTCAGTAAATAATTTTCATGACTTATTCAATTATTATATGTATATTACTAGTGGCACTCTCTAGAAAAGCACAGACATATCTATCCCACGGGAATCGTTCATTTTTCCGGGAAAAAAGTAACGTGTCGACCGGCAATATAAGGTATCAGCATGTCAAGTTTTACTAAATTAGGTGCATAAGTTATTGTGTACTAAGCTGTATAAGTTACTACAGTTTTTTTACTATCCGAAGGGAATTTCTTTAATTTTCCGGGATGAAAAGTATCTAAAATGTTTATCGGGGATATAAGGTACCACCATGCAAAATTTCATTTAAATCGGTCCAACAGTTTCGGAGATTAGCCAGTACAAGCAGACAAACAGAGAAACGAGAAATTTGAAAAAATTAGGATTTGTTCTATTTCTTTTCTTACATCCCCCTGACTCAGTTTTTAGCACTTTTTTCTATGTACAGACATTCGACCTCTACAGTTTTATTATATGTATAGATATTAGTGCTCTTATTTTCTATTTACTTTAGTTGAACTAGATTCTATGATGCTATGATTTAACGCTATTGAAGATGAATGTGGACGTTAAATCTACTCAAGTAACAGATGTACGACAACTTGACCTACATGGTCAACCTTTAGTTAGCGATTTATGCAAAAGCTACTGAACGGATTCTAAATGAAACTGTGATACTTCTATGACTATATTAACATCTTTTTAAAATATTTCATGCGTGAACATCTAGACTGAAAGCGACATCTAATCAAGACAAAAATTTCATTAATTTTATATGTTGGAAATTTTTCTGAATGACATGTGCGGTATGAACGACTTATATATGACTTTCTGTACTCAATTTTTCAAAAGATTTCTGTTCATTCCTTACGTTTTAACATGTTCTGAGATAGCGTCTATTTGTTAAAATACCACGATCTGACTTATTTTTAATTTCGTCGTTATTAAGCAACATTTTTTTATTTAATAAAATTCTTTGTTATGTAGAGAATGAAGGTGACATTTCTTTTCTCTCTTCCTTTGTAGTTGATCTGATTATGTTTCTGTTAATACACATTCTATCATAATACACCACGAGGTAGGACAAATGTGTTTTTAAACATTATGAATAACGTGAATGTTTTTCTTCGGTGTGATGTGATGGGCATAAACGGATATTTAGAACAATTATTATAAATTTATTGAAATATGGAAAAAATATTTTAGTTTCCTTAATATTAATCATTGAGATATTAGAGATTTAAATGAGCGTATGAAATTAATGTTAGCAAAGTGAAACTATCTTTTCGGATTATTTCGCGGATTTATTTTGATTTTTGGTTCCCGACGTTTCGAATGCTTTACAGCATCCATGGTCACGGGAAATAATCCGAAAAGATAGTTTTATTTAATAATGTCAAACATTCGCGTAAATCTAAGAAAGTATTATGTTAGCAAAGTGGTTAAATATGTATAGCATCTCGAATAACGACTTATGACACTATCTAAAGGAGTGTAATGCTGTCTGATAGAATGTTTGCAATGTCCTAACATACTAAGGCGTGCTTGGATCGAAACATACAAGTCCAAAAAATACGTTCTCCTCTTTGGCTGGCACAGTATCTGTTTTTATGGTATGACTCTGGTGTTGGTCAGGTAAACAATATAAACGTAATTCTATTATCTGAGTTAGTCAGTACGTCTCTGAAAGTCCCTATCTGTCGTTAAATATCGTTTGCCACGATTTATTTGATTTAATAATCAGCGGAAGAGATTTTTGGAGTGCTTTTATAAAATTATCATTAGTTATTAAATTGAAGTGGTCCATAATAAACTTTCCGGTTCGCTGCGCGCACTAACCGGAAACTACCGATAACAACACGTGTGAACGTAGTTTAGATTTTCTAAAGCTTCTTTATTATAAAACAAAGTCCCCACCTCACCCCTCCCCCGGTAGATCCAATTGGCTGAAATATAACGATGATTGTTAAAGATGTCCGAAAATATCACGTCAAGTGTGAGGTTTACTGGCGTGCGTCGCGTAAGCCAAAAGAGTTAAATTAAATTACGGTATAATTTGTATCTAGGGACGCATTCGAGCAAAGCAAGGGTTAGTCGCTAGTTACTAATAAGTATAACATGATAAGGCGAGTACGTGTTTCCTATTGTGACCTTATATCTAATAGTTGCAGTACTACCTAGGTTCTAGATGCTAAGGAATGAGACACAGCTCTTAGTGCTGCTACTACACCGTGTTTTACCCAATATGTATTGCATACAGCATAAATCTATAATTTGTAATAAAGACATACATACCATATATTGCTAATTATTTTTTTATGTAGAGTTACAAAACAGAGTAACGTATTATATATCAAATATTTGTGTCCAACTCAAGTAAATTCAATTTATTTTTGGCGCTGCGATGAGATTTCCCACATGAATTGGATGTGTGTTGATATATTGAAAAATATACGAAAAAGTTACTACAAATAAATTATAGAGTGTGAACTGAATAGTATCGTTGTAAATATGAAATATTTATGATAAATGTATATAGGGTTAAGTGCAGAAAGATATCATAATATATCTCTGTCCAACCGAAACAAACATTACCCCATATAGCACTACGTTAAATAGCCTACATTTGCTTACTCCAAATGTGTATAATATACGTTGAGCGTCTTATATTTATGAATTAAATATAATATTTAGGATAAAAGCAAAGTTTAAATCTATACATATAATAAAATTCTAACTAAGCTGAATCTGTACATTAGATATTTTTTCGAAAATCTTATTGAAATAAACATTATTATCGATACAGAGGCTGAATCTATGATTTTTAGAATTTTTGTCTGTCTGTCTGTTACCGCATCATAGAAAAACCACTTTAGGGTTTTGATGAAATTTAGTATGGCGATAGCTGGTTATCCGGGTCAACATATAGGATACTTTTTACCGCGGGAAAATATCTCATTTGTAAGAAAAAATAAAAAAACTGCAATGTAAGAGTATACTAATATGTAAAACCTAAGAATTTGATTTATGGTCATCTGAATGCGGGCGGAGCCGCGGGCAATGCTAGTCTATGCATAAAACTTTTATACCTCCACGTTGTTGTCCAGGCGGAGTATACGAATTGTAAATGGCCTTTTGCCTATGCGAGATACGTTTCCGCCCCTAATTGACCCCTAAGTGTGAATAGTGTTGTAGACCTATGAGAAATTATTACTACACATTAGGCAACTTGATGATCGTCATTTTAGTTTATTTGATACTTACAATTAATGTTATAAATTAGATTGTTTAACGTTTGCATTTTGTTTTAATTATCTTCTTCTTCTTCTCCCTGCCCATATCCCAATCACTTGGGGTCGGCGCAGTACATCTTCTGTAAAGGATTTGGCAAAAATTTTACGACCGGCCGCCTGCCTGACGTCAACCCTCCTTGGGAATGCTAATTAATGAATGTTTTGTTTAAATTATAATGAAAATAAAATTATTATGAGTCAGTGAGAACATAGGCTACTCTATATCATTTCATAAACAGTGATACCTATTCCTATATAATTATGCTTGTAAAAAGTTACCAGGGAACGCTAATTTTATAATCACATATTATTTAACAGTATACGTGCCTTCATGAGAATCTGTTCCACTACCTTTGTGAAGAAAACGGTGGTGCTGTAACACTTCCGGCCGCGAGAGGAGACGACGCATGGAAGATATATTTCAATGAAAACCCCGAAGAGATAGTTGACGAGTTCGCTATGCGATACGGGATTGAAGCTATTTATCAAGCTATGACGTAAGTGCATGTCACTTAAATATTTATCGAACAGTATGATTTATTTTTGATATCATGTTATTTGCTATAATGTATTTTACATACAATTTCGAGTTAATAATAAAGTGGATTTCTATATGGATATTGTTAATGTTATTATTTTTAGTTTATGAATTCTGTTATTTATGTTTTTTGACGTCTAAAGTTCAGAATTTATTTTAAATATCTATAGTATTTTGTATATTACTAGCGAATCACCCTCCATTCACTGAAGTTCGTCCCTAGGTTGATTCCCCATACAAACTTTCATCCCTATTTTCACCCCTTTAAGTGATGATTTCCGGAATAAAAAATACGCTGTCCTTTCCAGGGTTTCAAACTATCTTTTTACCGAATTTAATTTAAATCGGTCCAGTAGTTTCTGAGTTTGTTCGTTACAAACATAAAAAAATACAAATCTTTCCTCTTTATGTGTGATCGTTTATAATAAATAACGTAAACATTATGCATTGTCCACCAAATATCGCATTATGTTCTTATTTATGAAATTTATGTTTAACAATACCTAATAATAACTTTAAAAGTATAGTTATGGTAATGAAATAAAATGGTTGGTAATGGTTTTCATGTATGTAAGTATATTTAATTTTACCATGAAAATCTTCATCAAAATACTATCGACTAATACTTTCTTAGATTTACGCGAATATTTGACATTTTAAATAAAACTATCTTTTTGGATTTTGTCGCGGATTTATTTGGATTTTTGTTTCCCGACGTTTCGAATGCTTTACAGCATTCATTTCACGGGAGAGACTGAGATATTACATGTCTCGAAGGTATAGTTGTTACAGACAGCCTACCCACAAATAACAAAATGAAAATTTCACCAATTACCTTACAATATTTTGAATGCTGTAAAGCATTCGAAACGTCGGGAAACAAAAATCCAAATAAATCCGCGACAAAATCCGAAAAGTTAGTTTTATTTAAAATACTATCGATTAATTATTAAATCAATCGTATAATCTCCTTCAAATTTATTATCAACATGTACTTTCCAGACATTTCCATTGCCTCTCAACGAAGTACCTCTGCGCGGGGGTGCCGGCCGTCATGTCCACTCTGTTAGCTAACATAAACGCTTACTACGCCCACACAACTGCTTCATCCGCTGTATCAGCATCTGACAGATTCGCCGCATCTAACTTTGGAGTGAGTATATATTTACAAGGACATTGTCAGCATGAGAGCAAATAGAAAAAGGCTCTAATAATTAATTATAAAAAATGTGTTATATGAAAAATTCCAATTTTTCAGAAAATACACCTACATACACATAAAGATAAACTGAAAAAGCTGAGCCTTATCTAAATACAAATTGATGCAAATCGTTAAAACCGTTTTCGAGATATATGAAATAAATTTATTTAAAAGAATTATTCATCTAATATTATAAATAAAATTTTTATGGGGATATCGAAATAATAGTATATTTAAGTTTTCCATTTTAAAATGTAATCTTATTGCATTTACATAATAATCAAATGTTGTAACGCAAGAAAAAGAAGACCCCAATAAAATTTAAAAAGTACAGAAACGTGCTATAAAAATAGGTATCCATAAATTTTCTTCTTAACTTTATAGCTACGGAATTTTATTGAACCCTGATACTGGACGGCGGTAGTAAATAAAAGTTATCTTTATACCAATTGTTAGTGTTATGTTTTCCTTGATAAAAGCACAGGTTTCTTAATAGTTAAAAATATTACGATACGATATAACGATACTTTGACATAAAGATTTTTGTTCGATAATAAATGAAATGATATTTTTGCCATTTTAAACGAGTTATTAATTTCTATAGTTATATTCAGTTAAACCAAAGATAGGTTTAAGAAATTTAACTCAACAAATAATAAACTCAAAACAACTTTATGTATATAAGGCAGTGGTAGCCCAGTGGTAAAGCGCTCGCTTGGGAAAAAGAGTGAAGCGAGTTCAAATCCCGGGTCTCGCACCTATGATATTTTCATGTGCGAATCATTTCCAACTTGATTACCACTTGTCTTATAGCGGTGAAGGAAAACATCGTGAGGAAACCTGCATGTCTGAGAGAACCTAGCAAGTTTTCAAACGACATGTGAACTCCGCCAACCCGCACTTGGCGTGGTGGACTATGGCCTGATTCCCCTCGTACTGAAGAGAGGCCCGTGCCCAGCAGTGGGACGTTAAAAAGGGCTGAATACAATACATACATACAACTTTATGTATGTTATACTCGTATATGGACATTAAATGAAGATAATTATCATTTCCATTTCTCCCAAGTCCGACAGTAAATTTGGTTATTCATTACGTTACGTCATACTGAGGTTAAATTTTATTACGGGGATGGATCTTTATGAATATTCTAACCCTTTGAATATAATCGTAATTTTAAATAGATGAGGTGTCTAACTTCCTAACGCCAAAGTTAATGTTTCAATAAAACGTAAAGCTCCAATTTATTAGCTAATTATAATTCCCATCTAAGATCTTTTATGTAGATCATAAAATAAAATTATTAGTAATTAATGACTTACTTCCTTTTCGCTTGTTTCCGGTCTCCGATGCTTTTTTTATATTTATAATATTATTAACTTTTCTTTCCAGCGATTTCAGCTGTACATTTTTTCTATTTAAATTTTCAAGAATCCGTTTCAAGCTGATTTTTATACCCTTTTAAAGGAGTCCCAATATTAAATTCCATCATGTCATACTTTTCAAACGACGATATCTCCAGTTTCTCGTCATCATCCCCTATTTTTCATCCCCCATATGATTTACCCTCATTTTTGATTAGAAAGATTATTCCTAATTTTCAAGTCACTGTAAATTTAAAAACAAAGCACTTTCATTAATATTTCCATCCTTTTTTCACCCCTTTAGGAATTGCATTTTTAAGAATCGTTCTTAAAAAATCTTTTTCTTCCTTTATACATATATACATAATTTGTAAGATTTATACTTTATAAGATTCATGATTAATCAAAGTGGTATTTTATATATCAATAGCAATACCCGCGACTTCGCCTGCGTTCAAACTTCCAAAAAAAACAAACTCTTTAGCTTTATGTTATAACTAATAATGGTTTGATGACACACCAACTGCAGCGCCACCTACCGAGTCCATTTGTGAATTCAAATCGTGCAGGGAACGTACACAAAAAATATCATTAAAATCGTCCCTGCGGTTTAGGAGAAGATTAGTGACATACCGTCAGCAGCAAATTTCATCCAATTTGGTCTAGCCGCTTAGAAGGAGTTTGGTGACAAACACACGTACAGAAGAATTATATATGTTAAGATAATAATATATGTGCCACTTCAGATCATAGTCGTCTGTCTGTGAACTAAACATCCAAGTCATTAGAATCTTTTCAACGTGAATGAGCATTTACAATAGTAGTATGATTAAAAAATATCTTATCTACGGTTATATATACATGTGTATATATATGTAACGGGTATACCAATTCGATTTCTGACTGAGACACATTAAAATTTACTAATAAATATTGTTTCTTTGAATGAGTCTCTAAAATATAAATCTCAATAAATGAAAATTGAATAATTGTCGAATTCGCAATTGTAACCTTAGAAATAAGAATCTTTTATATCGTTACTTGACTGTACACTGTGATGTAACTTCGTGAGAACGTTCATGTTTGTTGAATATTAACCAGTCTGGGGCATAGAATTCGGGAACATATTCTCTACAATAATATTCCATTCTAAACGTTAGCCTCTAGGCGAGAATTTGGACTTTAGAATCGTCAAACTGTATTTGATCATGCTGACCTTTGCAAGTTATTATGGTTCATATCTAAGCTAAATGCTAAACTTGGTTTAACCACTTATTTTTACATAAAAATGAGTAAGATATTGATTTTATAATCAAGTATTAAATACGGCCATTTTAATCGACTATAGTATTTAAAATATTATATTAGAAAGAGAATCATTACAATCAATATATTTTATTAATAAACTTTCAGAAAGAAAAATTCGTCAAACTTCTCGATCAACTACATAATTCTCTTCGCATCGACTTATCGATGTATAGAAATAACTTCCCTGCCTCCAGCGCTGAAAAACTAATGGATCTTAAGTCTACTGTAGATCTTCTTACTAGCATCACGTTCTTCAGAATGAAGGTAAAATGTATAAAAAAACTTACTTACTCCAATAGTTTTGACTTTGAATTGTAAAAACAATTTCCATCCAAAGATTTGATTTCGAAGATGATTTCAATTTTCCTTGTTTTTAGCAATATTTTGTCCATTCCGTAGGTCCAAGAGCTTAGTAGTCCACCACGTGCCAGCACTGTTGTCAAAGACTGCGTGAAGGCCTGCCTTAGATCAACATATCAATTCCTATTCGAAAACTGTTACGAACTCTATAATCGGGAGTTCCAGGTAATTATAAAAATATTCATATAAATATTTAAAACTAATACATTAAAATATAAAATATGTGCAATTAATTTAAATTTTTACAATATTCATACGTCTGTAATATATAAATTATAATATATACAATAGTTTAATGCTGCATTATGTAAAATGTGTCCAAATATCCAAAAAGTGTCTATAATATATTTCGTTACTATTTTATTTATATATCACATAACAACAGCATGAATGCACATATAATAATTAAAGTAAAAAAGACAATGCTACAGGCAGCAGGAATAGGTCATATATGTCGTATAATTTGTACTTTCCTTATAATATTTTATCAATCTTAATATTTTTTCAGGTGGATCCAAACGAAGCCAAACGCGACCCAGCTGATCACGGCCCACAATTAGATTCATTAGATTTCTGGCACAAACTAATTGCACTTATCGTATCGGTTATAGAAGAAGATAGAAATAGTTACGCGCCAGTTTTGAATCAGTTTCCGCAAGAATTGAATATTGGACAGGTATTTTTTTTTTATTCCTAAACTTAAAAAAAAAAACTTTCTTTTCTTTTATATAGAATAAGTTTCGTTAAAAGAATTCTGTTTCTATTGTTTGTGTAAATAGTTTGCTTATCTTTTAATACAGACTAGTATTCACCTAGTGGTCAAATTCGACCATAATCAGAGGAAAATATATATATATATATATAATATATTTAATTTATAATCTATATTAAAAAATTCCAAAAATTGATAAAGCTACTAAATAAAAAGAATCGGTCGATAAACAGAGGAGACTATGGTGAATATAGTGCTTAATGTTTTTACTTTACCTATATATATATATATATATATATATATATATATATATATATATATATATATATATATATATATATATATATATAAATATTTATTTGAGCCAATAATATAATTTATGTTTCTTATTATTCATTATTCAGCTATCAGCAGCAACGATGTGGTCCCTATTCGCTGTAGACATGAAGTATGCTCTAGAAGAACATGAACAGCATCGACTCTGCAAGTCTTCCGCTTATATGAATTTACACTTTAAGGTAATAATTACGTTCTATCAATAAAAATCATTATGTATGTATGTATGAAATTTAAATATACTTCCCATAAGTGTACCTGGAGAAGTCAAACCCAGGACCATATTTTTTTTTCTGATTTTTTTAAGCTATAAAAATGTTTATACTAAAAAATAAAATAAGATTCAACTACATTTCTTTTAAATGTCCTTTGTTTTAATATTTATTTGTTCATCAGGTTAAATGGTTGCACACAAACTACGTTAAAGATGTTCCGCCATATTGTGGCGCTGTACCGGAATATCCTGCATGGTTCGAACCGTTTGTGATGCAATGGCTGAATGAAAACGATGACGTTTCTCTGGAATATCTAAATGGAGCATTTAACAGGGACAAGAAAGATGGAGTGAGTATAATATCTAGAAAAACGAACAAAAGTAAATCAAAATACATACTCTAGCCAAAATATTATATGTTTACAAACTTTTCTTAGTTTCTGAGACAAAAATAATGAAAACAAGATTTCTTAATTATATACCATAACGAAGCACGCTCTATGCTCAACCATAAAGAATTTAATTTCTGCATTTATAATGAATCTTTCCTTTCTAGTTCCAAAAATCCAGTGAACACGCTCTCTTCAGTAACTCAGTGGTAGACGTGTTCACTCAGCTCACGCAATGCTTCGACGTAGTGTCCAAATTGGAATGCCCAGATCCGGAAATATGGAAGCGATATATGAAGAGATTCGCCAAAACTATCGTCAAAGTGCTAATAGCTTACGCTGATATCGTTAAGAAGGAATTCCCAGAACATTTGAAAGAAGAGAGAGTGGTATGATGGTTTAGTTATCTGTTTAAAGTAGTTTTATAAAAACATGAACCTATTAATATTAGCTTAATGACTCATATATAAAAAACTAGCGATTCACCGTCCCTAGGGTTCGTCCCTAGCTTGATTCACCATACAATTCACCCCTTTAAGGGGTGATTTCCGGGATAAGAAGTATTCTAAGTCCTTCCCACAGTTTCAAAGTATCTTCTTACCAAATTTCATCTAAATCGGTTCAGTAGATCCAGAAATTACCCCCTACAACCTCACAAACTTTATATCTTTATTATATTAGTATAGATATACCTTTACCAATTGAAATATGAATATTTGTCATAGACACTTACATTCCACTTTTATCACTTTTATAAAGATTACTTTTTATGACTTTATCGTCTTTTGCATTCACGCCAAGTTTTCTGTTCGCAATGCCACAGTATATTTCAATATCATATTGGTTTTCTTGCAGGCTTGTATCTTAATGAATAACATTCAGCAACTGCGTGTGCAATTAGAAAAGATGTTTGAAGCGATGGGTGGCACAAAGCTCGAGCGCGACGCGGCCGATATCTTGAACGATTTGCAGGCGAGCCTCAACAGTACATTAGACCAACTGGCTTCTATGTTTGCTAACAGGTAATTATTTATTATATATAGCCATTAAATTCCTAATCATTTGCAATGTAATTATAGCTTCAATTTAGTAAAAAAAAATCAAATTTCGGTTAAATTTAGTTCATAAGTAAGTATAATAGTTATCTTACTTCTAGTCGATGGTACTTTCTTTTAAATTATAAAATCCATATCCACAACATTTATTTATTTATTTATAACACTTTATTGCACAAGAAAATAGTATATTAACATAAAAAGAAATATTATACAGTTAAAGAGATGTGCAAAGGCAGTCTTATCACTAAAAGTGATCTCTTACAGGCAACCGATAGAAAAGGATATAAGAAAATAAGTGAGCCCAAAAGGTGCATAAAGTGCAAATCATTAAAACTTAATATAAATAAACATACATAAAAATTTACATATAAAAAATACTAGTTTTACCATATATATTTTTATTATATATACATAACATATATATACATAATAATAAAATAATGTCTATATATGTATATATATACATAAACAAATTACATAGTATGGCACTAATGACATAACATATTTTAATAATAATATTTTTTATTTAATCAAACAATAATCGTACATTCTGATTGTAAATTGTAAATAAATTTAGCCTCATACAGTAAAAATTAAGTGTGCAATTATTTGTATACTTAATTAAATTAATTTTATTTTCCTTTAGTAAAAAAAAAATTTACAAAAACTAAGTAATAAATAAACTTTACTGTTTTTTTTTAATATCATTGTACTGTTATTTTATATCGTCACTTCTGATGATTATTTACGTGCACATATTCTGATAATTGTCTTTCTCAGCCTAGAGACCCGCATCACGGCGAGTGTGAAGGAGCTGGGGGAGCTGCTGCAGAAGGTGGGCGGCGGCGCGGCGGTGCCGGGCGCGCCGCAGCCGCCCGCGCACCAAGAGGCTGACGAGGTGTTGAGGCCTTTGATGGATATATTGGTAATTATTTTGTTCGCAATTATAATTTTAAGTTATTTTTTTCATACTTATGAGAAAAGTGCTGATGACTTGATCAGCACATAATACTGTTTTATTTATAAGATAAAGCAACATTTATATAGAAATTATTTTGGAATATATTGTTAAATTCTTACAAAAACAAGTATTATAATAATATGGACTTTCATATTTTAATGATCTTTGGTAAATTTTTTTTTAATTTCTTAGACAGATAAAATATATGATACACGATACGATTTTTATATATATTTTTTTATAGGATGGCTCCTTAACAATGTATGCTGAATCTTGCGAGAAGACGGTTCTAAAGAGGCTTTTGAAAGAACTATGGAAGATTGTCATGAAGATTCTTGAAAAGACTGTCGTTCTTCCTCCGATGACCGATAAAACGGTAAATAATAAATATACCAATAATAAATAAATTACCCATTTTTTTATTTATATCAAATAATATGATATATACATAAGAAAAAAACTTTGAATTTATGTTCTATTATTATTATTCATTACATGTGTTATTTTCATATCGATAATGTACGATTTATGAACGTCAAAATGCATATTTTGAAGTTCATAAATCCTAAGCTAAAATGGAAATCACACCACATTTAGTATATCAGGCCCTGGTCTATATGTGAATAAAACTTAATATTTTCTCAATATTTTTAGATGATGCTAAAGAATCTGACGAACAATGCGAAGAATTTAGCAGCGAACGCAAAAATCGAAGACATGACGCAGCTGTTCAAGAGCACGGTCGGCAAACAGGATGTCAAACACGCTCTTTCCGGCGTTATGGATATTTCGAAGGAGGTGAGTCACAATTTAGAAATTTCCGCTCAAGCTTAAATCGGAAACGAAAATATTTTTACCTTTGTACAGAAATCTTTCTCATACCGTACTTTCATTGGAACGATCCCAAGAATCGGACGTCATTAACAATTAAGGATTACAAACATTCTTCCCAAATTGTTTTTGAACGTACAATATTATGCGAATATTTAACGCAGAAATATATTAAATCGTTTCGTGGAGATATTTTAAGTCGTCTTCATTCTAATTTACTTAAGAATTTTTCATTAAATAAAAATAGTGTTACAAAATATATTATAATGACTCCTTATTATGTTCTTCGCATTTTATTTGGCGACTCGTATTTGATAGTGGTACTTTGCATACCACTATCAAAAACGTGTAGAGCCTTTATCAACTATTTGTTTATAAGCAGACCAATTGTTTATGAAAATAATGAATATGAAGATCTGTGTCATTATTCCATTTGACTAGAATCCGCCAGTCTTTCGCATAGTAGACAATATGTCTTTAAATCGGTTTTATATTATTTTAAATCGAGCGATTTTAATATTTATGTAAAAAAAAATTTTCAGCACTTATCTGCAGAAAAAAGTCTAACACCAAAGCAATGCGCAGTACTGGATGCAGCTCTCGATACCATCAAACTTTACTTCCATGCCGGTGGAAATGGCCTCAAGAAAACGTTCTTAGAAAAGAGCCCAGAACTGCAGTCTCTGCGATACGCTCTCAGTCTGTACACACAGACTACTGACACGTTGATCAGAACGTTTGTTACCAGTCAACAAAATCAAGGTAAATGAAATAATTTAAATATTATATCAATTTTTATTCCTTGGCGTATATCCTTTTAGTTAAGTTCGTAAAAAATGCTTAGCAAGATATGAATACGCTTCAATTACTCCTAATTTATCGAGTTGTCTTACAAAGTCGGGTGAAGTGCTCCCTACTATCATTTATAGGTACTTTTATATAACAGTTAAGAAACCGCTTTAGGGTTAAAGGGTATAAGTGTCTGTAACTTGCCACGAGGTAAAACTATTACTGCTTTAACTCCGAAACCATCCATCTATACTATTAACATATTCTCAATAATTATAATTACCTTCAGACGCAGCCGTAGCAGAGGAAGGCAGTGTAGGCGAAGTATCGCTCCAAGTAGACCTGTTCACGCATCCCGGCACTGGAGAGCACAAGATCACTGTGAAAGGTGCGTTTGAATTAATTAAATATAGTACCTATAGTATATTTATAAATAGCATTCGATCTATCGCCAACATATCGTAGGTATATTTTAATTGGACTACAACACTCATAATGTAATATACAAAGTATTTTAGAACAACATTGTTACACTCATGTAATATTAGAAAGAATTTTTCACTTTAAATTATTTTTATTCTAAAATAATCATTTTATTTTTAATCTAATTATTCTAGTGGTAGCCGCAAATGATCTGAAGTGGGTGATCGCCAGCGGTATGTTCCGTCCCTTCATCGAGGTAAATCTCATCGGTCCTCATCTCGCTGATAAGAAGAGAAAATTCGCGACCAAGTCTAAGAGTAACAACTGGAGTCCTAAGTTCAATGAAACCTTCCATTTGTAAGTTTACAAGCATATTTTACACATACTTACTTTTCTCCAAATCCTTGTTACAATATGTATATTATTGATAAACAATTTAGTGATAAAAATACAAATAAAAAAATAAATTATTACATGCCTTAAAACCTTATTTTTATACGCCTCAAAAGTTTATAGATATATTGTTGTAATGTTTCTTTAATCTTATTACTATATTATAAATTTGACGACTGTTGTGGGCTAGTAAAGTTTTTCTGACTGAGATTACTCTATAGTTGTGAATTATCGCGGTTCTTGGAGGTCTATAGTTCGATTCCCGTATAGCGTATAGAATATCAGCTTTACCCATAAATAAGAAATATGCTGTGTATAATTAAATTTTTTTTCTGTATCAATCTAGTATGGTGAGCGCGACGGAACAGCTGGAACTGTTCGAACTCCATGTATGCGTGCGTGACTACTGCTTCGCGCGCGAGGACCGCCTCGTGGGCGTCGCCGTCATGCGCCTCGCCGACATCGCTGAACAGGTAATACTAATATAATAAAACTATTTTTATTAACATAGTGGAAATAGACTAAAATTGAAATGATTATTTAAAAATTTAAACTATAGCCAATGAATTCTTTTTCTTTCTCTGTTCTCAAGATACTAAGGAATCGTATTTGATACTTTCGACATTGTAACAATCTATTTGTTACTTTAGCTTTATTTTTATCGTTGATAAATGAGATAACTTATTTATTAAGAGGACCACACACTAACACAATGTAATGGATGGATATATTTTTACATTATATATCTAATTATAACCTAATATTCATTAATATTTTTAATATATATTATTAATTGTAAAAATAATAGCTTCGTTATTTACAGTTTGATATTTTAAGAATACAATGTATAAATAAACATCATGACATACAATATTTATACTAAACTAAAATATTTCTATTTAAGGGATCATGTGCGTGCTGGCTACCTCTTGGCACCCGCATCAAGATGGATGAAACAGGATGGACGATTTTAAGAATCCTCTCACAGAGACATAGTGACGAAGTTGCAAGAGAATTCGTCAAGCTCAAATCGGAAATGCGAGCCGAAGCACCCTCTGGTAGCCAAGGACCATCGTGAGAATCATAAATAATAACCGATTGACATAAACCCAATCCAAATGGATCTTCCAAATCTAGGATTACGACTGGAACAAACCGGTTGTGATTATCATAGTGCTAACGGAGCGTTCGCTTTGTCCGAATGTCGGAAATTCAATGTTACTTACATCAGACGATTCGAAAAAACTGCGCTCCGGCGGTTACCGGTCAGTGCTCGTTTACGTTTATATTCTCGAGAGAGATCGTTTTGTAAATAAATTTACGATGTTAAGTTACGCGGATAGTAGAATATTTTGCACAAATTCGAATCATTAGCCAAAAGACTGACCGTAGGCGGCCGGGCGCTCGTCCGCCGATGTTTAGGCTTCCAGCAAAATATTTAAATATTACGCTGTTGAATTCAATAAATTATAACGTTTCAATGACCTTCATGAAACTCGGTTTGAGCACAAACATTTTATCTCTAAACACAGATGTAGTTCGTTTCTTCCAATACGTATTACCAAGGATTGTATATATATATATTTCAATCGCCGAAGCTTCAAGCCGTTTGCCAGCATCAGAGTGTCATGGAGGTCATTAGAATTTTGCTGGATTCCTAAAGTTGTGTGTGGACAACACACTTATTATGTATTAATTCTACTTATATGGACCAAACTGTCGTTAATACGGAGACATTACCTATTCCTTAACCCCTAATATTAAATCAACATTATTTATCTACTTAATCATCTTATCGTTATACGTGTACAGTAAATAATATATGGCCTTATGTAAATTATTTCCCTCGTTTGTTGGTATACATAATATGCTTCTGTCGAGGAACATGTAAAAGTATTAACGTATATGAGTGTTGAAATGCGATGCGAGTTTTGTTTTCTGTTGTTAGAGCTCGAGTTAATGCACGTTTAGGAGATGAGTGTTCTAAAATTGGATTAATATAGGTAGTATGATTTATCTTAAATTGTACGGTCTCATCATCTTTTATATAAACTCCTTTATGTCCCGTTTTTAAGTGATCCACGATGTATGTGATCAAGTATTGTATATAGATACCAAGTGTTAATTACGTCTTCGCTCTTACTTTTTACGCTTTACCTGTTTAAACATTTGTCTATTTCCTGTCTTTTGTATATTATTGAAAATTGTGATATTGTTATAATAATACATCGTAACTGTGGATATTTATGTGGACTTGCTTTATAAAGTTCATATATGTTAACTGTTAAAGCTTCTGATTTGTTCTACATATATCCGTTCTATTTTCACTTTCTATATTATTATAAATATTGTTCGTAAAATCTTTAAATAATAAAACCTAATGTTAGACATTCAGTGCTCAAATATTTTTCGTTAAAACGTTGGTATCGTGTTTATAATGTAATCGTTTACGACGGCAAATCATTATTATAAAGGTTATCCACTCAAAGCCGAGGTTTGCAAAATACACGGTGTTTGGTAAAATCACACGAATTTTTAATCAGATCGTATTTTCAATGCTACACTGTGCACTTGATTATTTGACAACAATATATGCCTTATATCTTATTTGTTATTTAGAAATAAAATATTCAGTTTGAGCTTGAACCGTCTATTAAATAAACAATGTATGTGATACATATTGTTCATGTTTATAATAAATATTTCATATCTCTCTTACATTCGCGTTGTTTTCGCTAGTTGGCATTGAAAATAGAATCAGGAAGCACATCACTTAACAAACACGGGAGTTAGCTTTTCTATATATTAGTATTATCATGGATTACATATCTGTAGATAGAATGTGGTTTGTCTAGTCCAAATCTCAATAATATATTTAAAGATATATTTACTCGTCTTATTAAACTAATTGATATCGTTTCTTGGGTGATTTTAGTGGTTTCTAATCGACTGAATCTGTTCGTAGTTTCATTGTCGACTTATTTTTTTTGTAATATTGGAGCACACATAATACAATGGAATAAAATATTATGATAACCATAAAAATTATCGTTTCACTGCAATCGAAATATATCTTTCTCGTGTGCTTTATTATTAGAAGTTGTTTAGAAGAATTGTTTTAGAGAAATATACCTAATGAATGGATAGAATTGATGTCAGGTTAATAATGTATCCAATATATGTATATCCTATCAGCTTAATGGGCCGATATTTATTTAGAGTGACAATTTTATATAATAAATTGACTAAATATGGTTGTTTATATTTCAATAAACTTATCGCTTTAATTAAATATCGAGACGGAATAAATAGAATTTTGAATCCTTTTGAAGTCGTTTTGCATTGACGATAATAAAATCACGATTGGATCATTTTGTATATACTTACAAATGTAGGTTCTTACGTCCATCGCATTGACTGTACGGGCAGTGGGATCGATTATCTGCATAAACATTTTTCAAATTTTTTGAATGTTACATGTTTTATGTACATTTTTTTGTGTTCAATATTTAATTTGATTACACCCCAGTTTATGAAGATATTGCGATCGAGCTAGTGTTAAAGAAAAGCGCACAGCATTCATTCCATTACTATTTTATTACATATATTTCATTGACACATTAAAATACCTTTACCATTTGACAATACTTGGTAATTATTATTTTTAAGTGTAAAATGTGATGATCACATCAACATCGTTATAAGACATTTACGCTCCAATTCTAGTATTAAAATCACTAACATTGCATATATCTTTGTATAAATGCATATATGTAAATGTTACATGTTTAAACACATTATTGAATTTAGAATTTTTATGAAAAAAATAAATAAATATCCGTATTTCAAATATAACTTGGTGTTTTTATTTATATAGACATATATATCTATACATATAATAAAATTGTAGAGGTCGAATGTCTGTACATAGAAAAAATGGTGAAACTGAGTCAGGGGGATGTAACAAGGCAAATAGAAAAATTCCAGATTTTTTTCAATTTTTTTGTTTCTCTGTTAGTTTGTAAGGGCTAATCTCCGAAACTGTTGGACCGATTTAAATGAAATTTTGCATGGTTGTACCTTATCTTCCCGGTCAATATTTTAGGCTTTTCATCCTGGAAAATTAAAAGAGTTCCCGTGGGACAGTTAAAAAACTAAAGTAACTTATACAGCTTAGTACACAAAAACTACTGATTGGATTTTAGTGAAACTTTATAATAATATAGTTCATACATCAGAATTACAAATAGGCTAATTTTATCTCGGAAAAATGTACGGTATCCCGTGGAATAGATTTGTTCTTGTTTGTCGCTAGTGTATACATATAAATGTATGTATATTAATATCAATTGGCATTTATCATGGAATTAATTTGGAGTGCAATTTTAGCCCTCAGTTTTTATTTTTTTGTGTCGTTTTTTTACGTTATTTAAAAAAACGCTCGATGAATTTAGATCTTAATGTTAAATTTGTACTTCTAAAATATATTAAAAAAATAATAAGCTTATTTTTTGTATTGATTTTTCTTTTAAAATTTCATTATAATTGGCGCAGAAAATAAATTATCTCTAACGTACCTCAGCTACGCACTATGATATAACAAAGCAAAAATCAAAGGACCTGTAAAAATAAGGGATCAAAATAAAGGGTTGCGAAGTATATTACACGTCTCTGAACAAGAAGGTAAGATATTCTTATAAGTTTAAATACCATTAGAAACTTTCCGTCTGTTTTTAATTGCTAGTTTCCATAATGCCTTAACCGATTTTTACCGCCGATACGATCAAGAGTAATAATGATGTGTAATCTATATCGTTGAAACAATCAAATGAGCCCAAATTCGGAGTACTTGCTAAATAGTATATAGTTCCGTTAGACATATTAAACTTAGCATTATAGTGGTAGTGGATAGAAGATTGGAGTGAAGATAGTATCTTATTTATGATGTCTTAACACGTTACGTGGCTACATTCTAGTATTATAATGAAGCTCTTGCAATTTGGAACAGTCTACTGTTCTTTGTTTTCTACCTACTGGTGAATTTAAAATATTCGGTTATAGCTATCACAACCATATTATACCATATCACAGTCTTTAGCGGATAAATATCCCCTTAACAGATATTGCTAAGCATGCGTATTAATATAAGTTTACATCACACGTGTAGTCTCAACACGTAATATCTAGTAGATTCAAAGGCCACAAAACAGACTGATCATGTTTCAGAATATCTGAAAATTAATTTAAAGAATTAGCATATTATGCACGATAAAAATGGATGAAAATGTGTGGGAGTTCGGGATACAATATCCGAGTGTAGTACTGAGAAATCCTACCATTTTATTTGTTTCAATTTGGTCATTCAGTTATGCGTATTTTTAACAATACTGTGAAAATCAGCCGGTTATTAATAAATGACGTTGTTTTTTAACAAGTTCAGAGAGAGGGACGATTTAATACAAACTATTTCTATTATAGGACAATATTTTTTCTTGTTTAATCTTGGATTATCTCAAGATTAAATCTTAAAACTACCTGTTAGTAATACATTTTAGACGATCACCATTTCGACATGTTTCGTATCAATCCATAATTGTATTTACTATCAAACTTTCGTAAAAAGAAAAGTTGGGCGTCTCTTCAAATCGAAGCTACTCCTGAAGTTTTAGCTTGTTATTAATCATTAAAAAAACCATTGGGGACTGTAGACTATAAGAATACAGTGACGAAAGATACTTCTTGCTACTAAGGCACTACGTTTTGGGTGAATATACCGAGCATCGCGTTTTTTTCCTTTAATTGACAGGGTAAATGTATCTATTTATGTACGATCTATATATGTACCTGTGATCAATGTACACATACATATACTCTGTGCGAGAATTGAACCCACGATCTTTATTATTTCATTTGAGAGAGATATAAGGTATTTTATAGATATCCTTTTGAAATTCTAGTGGAAACTAATTTTTTAGCACTTTGCTATGTAATTAATTACTTTTTTTCGTTCATGACGTTACTAAAACTGTATTATAAGTTAAAAAGATAAATTAAGTTTATGAAATTGTCATTGAAGTTGAAATCAAAGAAACCAGATGGAGGTATGCTGCGGTTAATACTTAATGAAACGATTTAATATAAATATAACCAACTCTAATAAAAGCAATAATGAAAATTTTAAATTTCTAATTTTAAGTTAATAAATTAAAATTTTCAGATACAAATATATGTAATTTTTTTTAAACAGCTTTCCTTACTACCCTAAAGTAACTAAATAGCTTTTACCTACATGTGTCTATTCTTGTAAATGATTCCTTTTTATGTCTAAAGTTAAAAAATGTATGATTGGCGTAACTTTTTGAAATAATGAAACTTACAAATTCGACCACCGTAATTTATTTCATCAAAAACGTGACAACACCACGTTTTCTTCTAATTTCCATTACAATAGCTTTACTAGATTCATCGAAAATCGTAAGAAAAATTTCCCAATAAGAACAGCTGACATGCTATTTGGGTATTTCAATGGAACGTAGACACTCCTACACTCCTGTACGTGTGGCCAGTGACGTCACAGGCAAGCGGGGCAAAGTCAGCTATTTAAAAACGTCACTCATTCATAAAGCGAACTCATCACTGCAAGACTGGCCATCGTGCGATACACACGCTCGTGTTATTTTTATCTAATGCTATTATACTTTGTGAGTGCAAAATGAGCGGTAACTTTCTCACTATTCCCGGAGATGATGCGATACAACGACGATCTCGGGTAAGACTTTCCTTATAATTACATATATTTACATATTATGCCAATTATTTATTATTTATGTATTGTTAATTTTATATTTATATAATTATTTAATTAGTCTTATTGATATGGAAGTGTTGTCTTGCAAAGTGCTATATAGAATACTAATAGACTAAGAACGTGAATCTCATAAAATCTTTTTTGCTAATATTTTAGCAAAATAAAGTATATTAATAAAATCAAAAAAAAAATATTTAACAAAATTTCTAAACACTAATCATTGAGTCTATGTAAAATCTTACTTTATTATCAGTGGACAATGTAAAATTATTATGCGTACTACATTCGTATGTAATACGTTTTGTTTACACAACTAACCTTGTGAATAACATAAAAGTGTTCTTTTATTCTTGATATATCTTGTTTATATACTGCTTACAAAACACATTTTATGTGATATTGTTAATATTTATGACATTTGAATTTTATATTTAAATTTAGTTATATATTAGCACCTCTTGATACCCTTCGCATTAGTTATAATATTACAGAACCTCAGAAGAAACGATTTTTTCTCACTTTGTTAACAAGTACCGGTAGTTTATATTGCCAAAATGTTCATAAATTATAAGTTATAGCTTTCCATCTTTCTTTTGATGAAAACCGTATGAAAATTGGTACAGTAGTTTCTGAGATTAGTACAATGAATACACAAATTAACGCAGAAGGGTACTTTGACTTATAATATTATGTAGTGTATATTATTGGAAGATGCGCATGCGATTTATTTTAGACGAAATCCTGAGAGAAATGACATATAAGTCGTAAATCTATCACCGCATTAACGTTTGGACTCATATTGTGGTGTCAGTATAAATAGCGAAATTTACTATGTTAAGAGATATAAAGGTAGTTTTTTAGTACCTACATAATACATTATAATGAAGGCATTATAAATAATAATATTATTATTTCTGTTCATACAAAACACATTTTAATTTATTTATTTAGAATCTATACAATATTTTAGCTTACACCTTCTAAGAAAAATTTCATAGATTTTCATATTATATTAATTTTTTTTTTTAATTTGACTAATATCATTAAGAGTTAGCTTTTTTCCAAACCTTTACCATAAAATAATTACTCAAAACAACATTCAAACTAAAATTGCAATATTTAAACAACACAATAAAAATAGTACCAACAGTTGTAAATAAAATTAATTTTTCCGGAATGTACCTATATTACCATAATAAAGCATGGTATTTTACCTCGTAACGAATTAGAATGCGTGAGATAAACAATGAATTATCATCTCTTGTCATCTTCATGATGAAATATTGAAAAGAGAATTTTAAACTAGCATCAGCCTGAGGATGCGCTCCTATTTCTAAATCCAAAGTTCAGGGCCATTAAACACACCCTCTGTGCGTATATAAGACCGGTAACGGGTAATTATGGTTATGACGTTCGATATACTTCTTTAGCTAGCCACTTACCACCTCTTCGCTCGGGTGCGTCCTTATGTACCTTTTGTATGTATAATAATATGTATATCTATACTAATATTATAAATGCTAAAGTGCGTTTGTTTGTTTGTCTTCTTTTCAAGTCGAAACGGCTTGGCGGATTGGCGTGATTGGCGTGATTGTGTGGAGATAATTAGAGGGCTGGAGAGTGACATAGGCTACTTTTTACCGCGGGAGATCATCTCTTTCGTACGGGAAAATACATTATAATACGAGTACAATCCAAAAAAATATTTATGATCAAAATTACTTGAAACTTAGTATAAATGCTCTTCAATACAATAAATGAAATACGTGCATTTTTCGAAATTCATCCCATAAGGGGGTAAACTAGCGGATGAAAGTTTGTATGAAACTTATCATTTTAGAGTTTTTTTTTGTAGTATTAGCGCGAGCGAAGCCGCGAGTTCTGCTGGTATAATATATAATATTTGTATGTATATGAATAAAATTATATACAGTAACAGTAGCCTGTCTATTACTTCAGGTCTCTTTACTAAATTTTATCTATTTCCGTCTAAAGGAATAACAAACATATGTACACACACATACGAACTATTACATTTATAATTGCAGTGTGATTAAGGATATCTTTATTTTTAATTTAAGTTTTATGCTTAGATTTCAAAAATAAACTGAGTATCTCTTTATGAGATCTCTTCCAGCCAATTTATGGAAGTAAAAAAGACTTAAAGTAATCTGAAGTAGTGCCTATAGTTAATATTAATTAGAATTTTAAATTTACCCTATTCTTATTATATCGAGGTAAAGTTTGTAAGTTTGTGTAAAGATGGTAATATCTAAATACTGATCTGATTCTGAAACTTCTATTTAATATTCTTCTTTGACTAGTATTAAAATATATTAGCGCCAATTGCAAGTATTTTTATTCCGATAAAAATGTGTTTATTCTCAGAAAGCATAATTAATTTAAATTGGAAAAAATGACAATTAAATTACTTTATCAACTACTATGATATGAAAAACAAAAACAAATCTATCCCTTGGGAATCGTATATTATTCCGGGATAAAAAGTAGCCTATGTGTTATTCCAGACTATAATCTACCTCTGTGCTAAATTTCATCTAAATCCGTTCAGCCGTTCTGGCGTGAAAGAGTAACAAACATCCATACATACTCACAAACTTTCACATATATAATATTTATACAGATTGTTAGGCCTAGGGACAAACACGAGTAAAGCGTGGGTTAATTCGCTTTTATAAATATAAATATAATCTTAGCAATACCATACCAAAAGAAAATACCATTTAAACCTGTTTAGTCATACTCGATTGATGTATTATTAAATAAATATATACATTTGAGTTCTATAATTAGGTACGTTTCAAAGATCCTTTGAAAACACACGTTTAATATATACAATTTGTGTAAATGATGAAGAAGTTAACAAAGAGATTGAATCACAACGTTTATTTAAAGTAATGTAAATATCTACTTAAGGGTTATCGTAAGAAAGCAAAGTTTGTTATGTGGAGTAACACATATAGCCGATTTCACCAACGTCACCTAAGTTTAAGGGATCCCCTAAGCATGGTTAGGGGACTGTTAGGGGACAGTTTCTGTTTCACCGACAGTTAGGGGTCACCTAATTTATAAAATGCCACCAACTACTAGACATACGGGCTCTAACGATGGTAAAACGAAATTTAATTTCAGGGCTAGTTTAGGGGAACTTCTAAGCTAGGGATCCCATACGTAGGTGGCAGCTTATGGGATGTTGGTGAAATCGGGCATTAAACTTCTATTTGGCACTCAGGAATGCACCCGAGCGATGCAAAGTGAACTCGGTAGTTATACTTAGATACTATTATTTTTTGGTAACTTATTATGTTTTGATATTTTTAATATTAGGTCTCGTTAAGCATTAAGCAGACTTTTGTATTATCAACGAAACCAAAAATTTTTTTTTTTATTTTGACAGAATTTTTGATTGTAATACTTTTTTATCTTTCCAAATATTTTAAATTTTTAATAAAGCTCAGATGCAGCTTACAAATAATAATTATAAAGCAATTATAAACATTACGAAAAATAATTTGTTTTATATGATTTCAAAGTAAAGTGTAGAAACTAAATAAATAATCTTATGAATTAACAATATTCTTAGGAATTGAATTAACGTACAATGAAAATTTATATGTTACAAGAATTTCATAGAAAAAAAACTGAAGTTTAGATTTAAGATTAATTTATTTGGTCGCTATATATCTAGCTATCGTTTAAGGGCCAATATACATCACGTTTTATAATCGCACTGACGACGCGCATATCATAAATGTACGTAGACTGCGCATATTATGCTATATATACTTGCGATTCGATACAAACACATGGAAAAACGTGCTACGACTCAATCGCTACGCATCGACAACGCGTTTTATAGTTGAACAAAAAAGTTTTAAATATGATATCTCCTAAACTAAGCTTGTATTTTAAGCCAGACAGATGTTCCACTTGCATATACGACGTTAGACTTCGAAAATATCTGATTAGGTATCTATTCTAAATGAAAACTTCCGTTTAGTTATTTTTTAAAATTTAGTGCCTGGAAATCGGTTTTTATTTTTTGTTAAAAAGTTTTTTTTTTATATTACATAATATAATATGTTTCTAATATATTATTCAGATATTATCGTCATAATAACTTCATTTTTTATTTCAAATTAATAATAATTATTTGTTTTTAGTTACTTAAAAAAACTCAAAGACATAACTAACTCCTCAGATCAACTCCATTGACATCACAGTATATATTAAAATGTATACTGCCCTCCCGAACCTAAAGTGCAGTAACAGCAAAAACACGAATTCGAGAAAAACGCGCTTAAAGTTTAGAATCCATAAAAATATATCAAAAAGAGACTTTTCGATAAAACCTTGAATGGAAAGTGAAAGAATATGTACCAAACTAAAATACTAAACATTGTTACGTTAGTTTTTTTATAAAAAACTATAATTATGGCAATTTTAATTTTTTTGCCCCTATTACTACACACACTTTATTTGTATAATCTTTTCAAAAACTGTTTTAAATGCAGTAAATCCTGTTATTACTGCATTTTAGACATTTCTTCCATGATTGTTACTAACTAAAGTGCAGTAATATTATGAAAATACTGCTATTTAATTTGTTTTTTTTCCACACTTATAGTAATATAAAATTACCTTTAATTTTGATAAAAATATGTAATTTCTTAATGCATTTATGACTATGCTATTAAAACTATTCATCAAAACATTGTACATTATAATCTAATAGTGTAAATTGTTTTATATGACTAACAATATAACAATCTTTACAAGATGTTGACAATCTTAACTAGTTAATCCACCATAAAACTATATCACATGTATTTCTCATGCATGGATCAATAAAATTTACATAAAATCTTTCTTCTGAACATAACTAATTACTAAATGAGTATTCTTGTCTTACAAAAATAATAGTCTGAAAAGATTATGGA